TGAAAACAGGAAGATCACTAAGAGCCTGAGCAGTATAGTAAGACCCTATACCGAACACATTAAAAAAAAAAAAAAAAAAGGAAAGAAATCCAATAAAGATAGCATGAGTTTATATTTAAAAATGTACATTCCTAAACTAGCTGCACATTTCTTAACTATGTGTTTAAGTGAGGTATGACGATGGGCTGGGGATTACAGTGGAGTGAACTGTGTCCATGAAAGTATGAAGTCTTAATTTCCGTGTGTCTAGAAGTTACCATATTTGGATATAAAGTCGTTGGAAATGTAATCAAGTTAAGGTCACAGCAGAATTAAAGTTGAGCCTACATATAATAACTGATGTCTGTATTAGGGGCAGAAGATTTGGAGCCTCAGGAGAGGCGGTCACATGGAGACAGAGGAGGAGACTGGCACATGCTGTTCCACAAGCTGAAGAGGGCGAGGAGCCATAAGGACCTGGAAGAGGCAAGGACAGATGCTTTCTCAGAGCCTTCTGAAGAAGTGTGACCCTGCAAACAACAGGACTTCTGACTTCACAAATAAATTTTTGTTTTGTGAAGTCGTTCACTTAAGTCATTCATGGTATTTTGATACAGTAGCTGTAAGAAACCAAAACAGGCGCAAAAAGTTTGCTTTCAGCTTCAGGCAAAATTGAGACAGAGATTAGAAGACACCAAATGAGAATAATAATAAGACAGTTAAAGTTCAAACACAAATTTGAACCTAATTAGGCCTTAGAGTCTGTTTTCGCATTTCCAAACTAGGGACAACAGCACTTAACCCATAATGCTGTATATGTGAGTGTAGTTGGCAATTAAATCACTACAATAAGTTAGTAGTAGACACAGGGTGGATATTATCAACTAGTGCTTATTTGTCTATGAGTTAGTCTACTGTTTTCATAATACAGTATTGTCACAGTTGCTATGTCAAGTCTAACCCATAAGTTTGCTATTCCAAAGGTAAAGACAGAGTGCGGACAGCTGCCCACAGAGAAGCACCATCAGCTCCAATGCCAGTGTGCTAAAGGTGAGAAGTGCGCTCTAGTGGTACCCAGGGAGTTCCTAGTCACACCTCCAAATAACAAAAAATTAACTTTCTCATTGAAAGTATGCAAACTACACATGCATCCTTCTAAAATTTGGTAAGAGCAGAGTGACAGAAAAGTAGTCCAGAGCTAGTGAAAACTTTCTTCTAAAATTTTAAGAGAAGTAAAACTTTCTGCCCTTTATACTGCTAACCAAGCCCTGCACATACTAGCAATCATACATGCTCTGTAGAACTGAGAGACCATACATGTAGCAATTTATGAAGTACACTCAGCTGAAAAAACCACCTAGCAGTCTGGACTGAAGGAGGGAGAGCACACTGACCTTGTAAGGAGATACTCCCAGTAGCCTGGAAGCCTCCCAGAAGCTGAAAAGCACTGGGGACCCAACAGCTAAGCCCCTGGATTGGACTGTGGAACTACTCTCAGATGGTCAGTGGGTTCCAAAGAGCTGGAACAGGTAAGGCTCCCTTATCTGCACCTGGGACCCAAGTCTGAGTTACTGCCGCACTCCAAGCTGCTCTACCTGCTCTGCTGCGGTCTCTGGCATGCAAAGCATTTGCAGTTGCCCCGTGAAACTATCATGTAAATACGGCTGTGCATACTGTACATTTTTAACCTGCCTTCTTTATCAAGCTTCTACAATCTACTTGTCACCTTTACCACGTATTCAGAGCATAAACAAGTTAAGCCTCCAATGCTATTTTCTTCATTAAGAGCCCCCTGAAGTATGCGGAACTAAGTGATAAGGCAAGAACATCTCAGCAGCAGTAAGTTAGGTCCTTAGGCTGCCCTCTCCGCTGGAATTGCACTGTCTCGATCTTTTTTTCACTACAAATGTAAGTTAAAATATACCTGAGCAACAAATGTGGGATGGCTAGTACAGAAATGCTAAATGGAACAGCAAGATCACCTGTGGATCATATAGTAAGATGTTAGGCAGGATGGCAAATACCTTTGTTTTCACTTTCACAAAAAAATATATTTGTGAGATATATATATATATATAGATATAGTATATATCTATATATATCTACATATATATTTCTATTACCTTATTCCATGCAATCACAGGAATTCTTAACATTTCCTAACATTTTCATCAAGCTGCCAAAGTCATCATAATCAAAACTACATTAATATGTAACTAGTTTGGTACTGTCAGTGTGTAGTTTATTATTTAAGTCAAGAGATTAAAGTTAAAGCTTTTGGTTCCTTTAGGTAAAACAGATATTTCAGCAGCTAGAAGACACTAAAAGTTCAGTTAGAGCATGTGAAGAGACTATATAATCAGTCCCCTAAAAAGAAACATCTTAAAGAAAGCCAAGAAAAATGATCAAAATATAAAAATAAAAATTACAATATCTGTTCAACTTTACTTATAAAATCATTGCCTACTAGAATTATTTAGAAACCTCAAGTAAAAAAAAAAAATTCTCTTTGGCTATACGGAAATGTTATTTTCATAAGAATGAAAACTGGCATTTTAATGTGTTTTTATAATTATAATACGGTTTTTTAGAGACAACCATACAAAGTTTTCATTTTACTTAGGTAATTAAGCGGCTGAATATGTCATGATACAGTTGGATTGCAAAGAAAAGCTCAAGAGCTTCCGGCTACCCTGCACCTGCGGGACCGACTACTGATCCCAGCCCAGGCACAGTTGGGGGGAGACCCTCTTCCACCCCATTGGGACGCCCCCCACCACCCCGCAGCACCTTCCCCACCCCGCCCACCGAGTAGGAATTTCTGCCGCATTCCAGGAACCCCCAGACCCAGCCCTAGCCCAGGACCGGCGAGTGTGTGGGAGACCTTCCTGTTACCCTGTGCCGGGACCGATTACTGGTCCCAGCCCACGCGCAGTGTGGGGGAGACCCTATTCCACCCCCTTGGGATGCCCCCCACCACTCCGCAGCACCTCCCCCACTCCGCCCGCTGAGCAGGAATTTCTGCCGCCTTCGGGAACCCCCAGACCCAATCCTAGCCCAGACCCAGTAAGTGTGTGGGAGAGCTGCCTCTCTCCCTACTCCACCTTGTCCCCTTCAAGCTCAGCTCAGGCCTGGCATACAAGCCTGGGTTGTAACCCTGCAGCTGCAATCCCTGCAGAGAGGGTAGAGGATAGAACCACCCAGCTAATCCAGGAGCAGAACATCTTGCCACAGGGGCACAACAGGTTCACCCTCAAGGGCAGCAGCAGGAAGGAGTTGAGCACAGCAGCCAGACCCAAGCCAGGCACAGCTGGATAAATCCAAACTTTGTAGATCTGCACCTGAACTTCAGTACGTGCTAAGGTTATAACTACAACGAAGATCTACAACAAAGGTCAGAAGACAGTGCTACGCAAAATGATGAGAAGGAACAAAATGCAACCTCAGAACCCAAGCCCACCCATAACAAGTGCAGAGGACACTAACACAGAACAAATTGAGAATCACACAGCTGAAAGCAATGAATCAATGGCTTCTGAAATAAAGAAACAGCTGCAGAAAGGTATAGAGGAACTCAGATTGGAAATAAAAAAAGAAATCCCTGAATTAATAACATCTGCACTAAAGAATCAAATGTAGAAACATATGGAGGAAACCCAGTGCCCACCCAGAACAAATGCAGAGGACACTTGCTTGGCTCAAATGCATGAATTAATAGTGTTGATAATAAATAAGCAACAGCAGAAACATAGGGAGGAAACCCAATCTGAAAAAAATACTGCAGTAAAAGAATTTATAACTGCTTCTAAAGAAGACATTGATAAAAAAAATAGAGATTAGCAAAGAAAAGCTCAACTTGTTTTAATTTCATTAGAATCCTCAAGCTACAGTCAGCAACTCAGAAGCAGCCCTGATAAACACTTCATGATAAATTTGGACATCTACTTGGTATTTTCTTAGGGGTGTGTCTCTATGATTCTCTCCACTTGGCCTAATTTTATCTTGTAAATTACCCCTACCCCATCACATGCCATTAAGTCAACCTGTCATTACTTCCTTCATCTCAGAAAAAGATGTACCATGGATTTATGTTTTTATTCTAAATCCATATGCTAGAAAATACTTAGGGAGGATTATCAGGAAAATATTTTACCACTCTCCATGTGTTAGGTACATTTAATATAGAATGTTCCCTATGGAAAGAGCTGAGGAGGTGTGTGCGTGTTAGTATGTGGCTATCTGTGTACAGGCATACATGCATGTGTATGTGTGCATGTGTGTGTGTAAAAGGAGGAACAGTTTGAGACCAAACATTACAAAGTAAAGGTTTCTGTGATATTCCTCCTGGACAGTTTCTGGAGCTAGACATGAGTATAGCAGAAATCAAAGTAAGAGGCTCAAACACTGCCAACCGAGGCACTTTCTTCCTTTCAGATGAGAGGATGGTTAATGCCTCCCCAGGCCTTGGTGAAATCTGTAGATCAACAATCATTAGGGAATGTGGATTTTAAATTATGTTACAAGGAACACTAGAGTTATCCCCCACCCTCTTTAATCATTCAACTTGTTGTATACAGAAGTTCTATTACAGAAGTGTGAAAAGCAGTGAAGGAAAATTTTGAGAGTGATGCCTCCTGGGATGCCAAGAGAACAGTTCGATACCTGCATGTAAAATGCTTAGTAGTCTTGCACACTGAAATTCTACAGAGGTTGGCTAGAACCACAAGGCTGATGAAGATTCCAGTCTGAAATACAGAGGTAATTTAGAGAGTGTGAAACGCAGAGGTACCTCATTCAATGTATAGATAAGATAGATGTATCTACTATCTCAAGGTTTTACTTATTTATTTTTTTGCAGAACCAGAGATTGAACTCAGGCCCCAGCGCTTGCCAGGGAAGCGCTTATTCCACTGAACCATCTCCCCAGCCCCAATCTCAAGGTTTTAAATACCCTACTGGGCATTTGAATTACAGAACTTTAAAACTGAGAGGTATACCACCACCACTAGATGAAGGCTTACCTCTTCTTCTTGGTGATAATGAGGACATCATTAAAGAGAAAGAAGTAGACTTGTTGTTTGGATGTCCTCTTCGAGAAAAGCACTGTGTCTTCTACATAGGCTGTTAACTCTCCTCTTTTCACTAGCCACCGGGAAGAGGAGACTAATGGAAAAGGCTATAAAAAAGAGAAAAAAAACTCACTGCCCAAAGGCAAAGTATTTTTAAGATTAGTGAAAGCAAACTATAAGAATTACATTTAAACAAATGATATGTACTATGGCATGTATCGTTATCTTAGAGCTGTACAAGAGCCAAATGTAATTATAGAAATACAGCACGTTCTTCAAGAAAATTAAAGATAAAAACTTAGATCCATGTAAGAAAACACTAACTTGCCAGTATGAAACTAAAACTCAATAAAAAAATGTAATTGGGTTATAAAAAATTATGAACCTTTTACTAAACTCTTAAATGAGAAAGAAAACCAAAATCAAATCATTCAAAACTGAAAAGCCTAGGGCTGGGGAGATGGCTCAGTGGAATAAGTGCATCCCTGGCAAGCGCTAGGGCTTGAGTTCAATCCCCGGTTCTGCAAAATAAAAAACAAAAAACAAAACTGAAAAGCCTAGTAATGAACTCTATCAGTGCCAATGGTTGCTATTTAAAATATCTCAAATCAGACTATAAACACACAGAAATATACAGATAACTATAGTTACCAACAAATAAACATAGACGTCTGTATTTACTTAAAGAGCTAAGAAAGGCTTTTTCGAGGGGAAAAAAAATCCCACCAATTTACATTTTTGTCTACTTATTCAGATGCTCAGCCATATTTGTAAGAACACCTGTTTTCAATTCATGGTACTTTTCCTTATTTAAGTTGGTTCCTGAAACCATCATGCCACTTTCTGGCAATGAAACTGAGCTTATTCTAAAATAATCCATTATAATCTCATAGAAAAAGACCATATCCAAGGAATTACTATTTTTTCTTTATTCAGTTTTATACCTTAAGCCAACTAAAAACCTCTCAAAACCACAGAATAATCCCTACCCCTGAGCGTTCTCTTTTTTTTTAGGGAATGAGAGGCATTACCAGAAATGTTCACTTCCAATAGCCTGATTAAAAGACAAACAACAACAACAAAGGTTATATCTATAAACTAAACTAAAGTTTTGGACACACAAAATAAAAATATGATAATGTGGTAGAATCAAATGTTATCCTTTTCAGGGAATAATAATTACAAAATAGCCAAAGGAAATTGAGGATTTGAGGGAGGAAATGAGAAAGCAAAGAAATGATTTCAATTTTTTGAAATTTCTTTTTATAAGAAGGTTGAACATCCGTTATAGATTCGAAAAAGAAGGTGAAACATTATGACTAATCCAAAGCTTTTCAAAACTGGCTGGGGCTGGGGATATAACTCTGGGGTATAAGCACCTGCCTGGCAAGTGCAAAGTATGAGTTCCATGCCCCCCCGTACCATAAACAAACAAACAAACAAAAACTGGCTAATAAGGATGTCCATGAAGAAGCTTGCAGCCCTAAAACTCATTAATCAAACAACTAGTAGGAACAACTGACATCTTAAAAGTAAACAAGAGGACTGTTCACACCCTTCTGGAGGACTTGGCTGAACAAGCGGAGGTTACTGCAAAGACACCCTTGTCAGGTGAGGTTCTGCTAAGGTGCTAAGGGGCTTATAACAATTGGGGAAAGTGAGCTGGTTTGTTATTCCATGTTAAGGACTGTGCTGTAGTTAAATTCCAGTATATGTGTAGAAGGCTTTACGCTGACCTGCAAGTTAGGATGCCTGGACCCTCAATCTTACTGTACCATTAGTCCTATGACTCCATCAATAATTATTCTCTGCACTTTACTTTCCCCATTTATAAAATGAAAGCGTGCAGTTGTACAACGGTCTTCAGATTCTGCTCTCTCCACAGAGTACCATTAGATGTGGCAGGTCACTATAATTACACTGCATAAGTTAGGAACACTTTTACTAGGAAAATGATGATCAATCATTATAATACACTTAATTAAATGTAAGTGCTATAAAATGTAATACTTATGGAATTATGATTGTGAGCATTCATATCCATTAAGAACTTGGCTGTGAACCAACAAAGAACTGGCAGGGACCCAGATCTGCATTGTGTCAATATTTTCTTCTGTGTTCATCCTGTCATCTGGCAAGGAACAGCACTAACAGGCAGCACATATTCAAAAAATAGTTCCAGAAAAAAAAAACAAAAACTTAAAAAACTATCTAGTGGCACAAGAGTGTCCTTATTTGATTTAAGAGAACACTGTTATCCAGATCATGAGATTTCACCATTTTGCAAGATATTTTGATAATGTTGTAGACCCCCCCAACTTACTCTAGTGTATTTAAGTTACTTCTTTTTCCAATTTTCCTGTAAACACTGTATACTTCATAGGTAACACCTGATTGCATAACATGGAAAAGATCACTCTGTCTGGTAAGAGAAAGCAGAACTTCCTGAGACCCCTTAACTCCTCTGCTGGATTTCACTCATCAATGTATGGCTTTTCTTTGAAAAATAAAGTTCTCCTTGCTTTGTCTTCTTTCTTTTAGATAATATTTAAGCAAAAGCAGTAATCAATAAATACAAGCACAATGATACCTTAATTTTAAATTCCAGCTGGGAGTTAATTGTATACATCATCTCGGTCCTTTCCATCTTACGGGCTCCTTCATTACACAGCCGAACCAACTGGAAACAGAGAAAGAGGAGTAAGACAACCAGGAGAAACCTCACTTTCAGAGGTGGATCTCTACAGGAAACAATTACCCTTGCAAAGCCCCAGAGACTTCTGATAGCTACAGAATTCAGGTTTTTCTATAGTTACACATACTGTACCCAGGTAAACTAGTGATCAGGATGCAAAGATAGGAAAAAAATGTTCTGAACCCTTCTGGGAGCACACACGCTTATCCTATTTGCCCTTCTCATTCATCTTGCACTCTGGTCTCTCCTTTCCCTCGGCCCTTCTCCTGCAGAGATGCAAACCTCACCCATCCTTAAGGAAAGCTCATCCTTCTCCCACTTCCAAATCAGAGCAGCAGGAGGTAGACCACCAACTTCAAGGCCAAATCCAAGCCCAGTGCTTGTGCAATGCTTGTAGCCAGGAAAGGGTTGAGGGATGCCTTCAGGGAAAGGGGATGGTCAATGAGTCCTCAAGGATGGCCAGGCTAAGGGCCTGTTGACGGGAATCACTCCTCAAAGGAAACATCTTTGGTTTGATGAATACCGAACATCTATTTGGTTTACCAGTCTACAGCAAAATACATTACTGCCAGTGTTTTATTAACTGAAAGATCTGGAAAAAAGGTCCATGTATGATTCACTGGCCATAAGGACAAATGTGATTGTTAAAAATACCGGCTGAAAATTTTATTTTTAATAATCATGCTTTATGAAGTAAATAATACATGCTTCATGTAAGATGTAAATGAATAAAATGATCATACAGAACTAGATTAAAAATAAGCCACAAAAATCCTGATATATTCCTATTACTTAGCAGTAACTGCCAACAGATTGAGTTTTAGACTTTATTTTTTCCCTGTGCTAATGTGAATGTACAAATATATATACCCATATGTATATGTATATATATATTTGTAGAAATTTTTCTTTTATTTTTAGGTCAGTTGGCTTTTTCACTAGCCAATGTTATGGACAGAATGTATGTATTCCACTAATTTGTATGCTGAAATCCTAAACTCCAATATGCTGGTGTTAAGAGGCAAGGTCTTTACGAGGGGATTAGGTAACTGAAGCTGCTCTTTTATTAATGGCATTAGTAACTTCATAAAAAGAGATGGTTCCTCTTTCTTCTCTCTCTCCACCAGGGGAAGATATCACAAGAAAGCAGACATCTGTAGGTCAGGAAAATGGCCTGCAGCCAGCAACCCATTTGCCCAGACCTAGGTCTTAGATTTCCCACTTCCAGAAAAGTGAGAAATAAATATTTGCTTTTTAAAACAGTCTAGGGAATTCTGTTAATAGAATCAGAATATAGAAGTATCTCCCCTTACAAATATATTATTCATTGAAAATAGAATTAATTTACTTAGTACCTGCTATATTCTGGGGGCTACAGTTTCAACAAAACAAAGAGACACATAATCCCTAACAGTATGGAGGGACAGACAAAAACACACAAATAATCATATACCAAGATTATAAAAGAAAAAAACAGAGAAGTGAGGAACCCTTCACTGAGGGTTTACATTGAAAGCTGAGAGAGAGGAGTGACTTGGTACGGAGTGATACAGTGCCCAGGCAGAGGACAGATAGCAAACTCAAGCAAAGGAACAGACAGAAAACTGCATGTGCCTAGCAAGTGAAAGTAAATCTGGACATGAAGGAAGGTGGCACAGGATGACAGTGGCAAAGACAGTCCATTAGCAGGCTCTCAGCATCCAAGTGAAATGATCCAGTTTATTCATTTCATTATACAGACTTCCAATATTTATTTACTTACAGCATATTTATTTATTTCCCTACTGGTTTCAAACTGCTCACTTGACATCTTGATTTAAGGCATTATGCCTATCTTAGAGTGGTCTAAGTTCAAGGATGCAGGAACTTCTGGCTGTATCTAATCAAGGCTAACAGTTAAAATATGCTGGCCAGGGTCAAGGCAATCTGAAATTGGAATATCCTGAAAGGAACAGGGCATATCAGGGAGCAATCCAAGTACTGTGTGAGGCAGCTCCTGATCAAAACATGTAATTTTTTTTCTTTTTTTTGGATTTTAGGGAAGGGTCTACAGGGTGTTCAGGGTCTCGCTACTAGATTGGATTTGTGATCTGCCTGTTTACAGCCTCCCAAGAGCTGGGATTACAGGCGCGTACCACCACACCCAGTCTCAATTGTCATCTCAGCATGCCCTGGTGGAGAAGCCAGCAGGGCAGGCCCCGAATCAAACCGCTGGTCCCTGACCTGCTTGCAGGTGCTTTAATCTGCTGAGCTATTTGGCTGGCCTCAAAACATATTTTTGAAGATTTCTCTTACTGCATATATTCAGAATTCACAAATCTATGCTCCCAGACACCGTCTTTCTCCTCAGCTATAGGTCTAACTACCTAGATAATTGTCTCTTTTTGGATGTCCCACAGCTATCTTCAATCCAGCAAGGTCAAACTTTAGCATCACTTTTTAATCAATCTTTTATCCCAGCTGTGTATTCTTTATCCGGCATCTTCCTCATCCCCTTCCTCCTCTTCCTCTTCCCAAGCCAAAAGCCTGGTCCTCTCCACTCAAACCTCTCCTTCTGTTCTGCCTCCCACATTCCGAAAACCTTGAAGCCCCCTCCATGCTGCCATGCTGATGTCTACTTGTGTGTCCTACCATGGTCCCAAACTCTGGCTCAGATGACTTCTGTGCCCAAATGCTGCCCTCTTGATTCTCTCCATTGCCACTGACCTCCCCTACTCCTTCTGTCCACCTACCTTTCAGGGCTGCACTCGAACTTTAACTCTCCAAGAAGCCTGGAGAGCAGAGACCATATAAAATTGCCATATGCACAGTACTTGCCTAAGGTACAACTGGGACATTCACAAATGTTCTTGCAAAATAAAAGCAGCAGACAAATCTCACAGAAATAAGGAACAAATCTTTGTAGTTGCCCCTTCTTTAAAATAAAGGTGAAAATGAATTTATAGTTCTATTATCACCTTATTCCTTAAACTTCCAAATCTACCAACAGAAGATGGAGTTATGCCACCATTGAACAAATCTTGAAGAAACCAAAGCTGTCTTAGAACATACTTAAAAACACCAAAGTTCCTCAAGTATCTTAAGCAATGATACTATCAACTGGCATCAGCTGCAATGCCTATTTTGAAGGGACAAGCACTAATTTTCTCATGTGTGCCCTACTATTTTTATTAAAATCTGCCACAGTATATTAAAGCCAGACCTTTTTTAGCATCTGCCAAAGCTTTATTAAATTTAGTTAATTTAAGTTTTTTTTGTGTGTGTTTTGTTTTAGGCCTACTATACATTAAAACACTCAGTGCCACTAGTAAAGAAATATGAGCTAAAATAAACAACTAATCGATCACATTCACAAAACTGCTGGGTGTACAGTAAAGCAGGGCAGACATTCACGTACATACTCCTGGTCACAGGCAAGGAGCAACCTTTCCAGAAAGTACTTTAGCACCTGAAGTAGGGGCTTTAAAAACATTCTTACATTTTTCTTCACATAAATATAATTCTAGAAATTTACCAGATTACTTATAAATAATCAGATAAGCACTGTCATAAACAGAAGATGATGGTGAGCACAGCCCTCTTTAGAACAGCAAGTGCAAGTGCAGCACATGAGCACATCCCTAGGGCTCATTCATCACTATCTGCTAATGATGCACTGCAGATCGATAGAATAAATTCACATTAGAATAGCCAACAGTCACATCTGAGTGAAACAATCAATTACTGATACATTTTATTTTCTGCTTCTGACTGAAATTCTGTAATACACATTTATTACTTTATTCACTTTTAAAACATAACTGCATAAACACTAAATAGTAGTTTACAGGACAATATTTAGCATGAAAAATAAATGCCTTATCTCAACACTCACTTCATTGTACTCAGTTATGGCTGAAACACTGACAGTAGATGACTACTGGGATGATTCATTATATTAGTAACACCCACAGGTTAAACATTTTATTAGTTATTAAATATCATTACACTAGGAGCATCTGTGTTAGCTTTGTCACTGCTGAGATATCCAAAACCCACAATTTAAAGTAGGAGACACTTAATTATTTTGGCTCACTGTTTTCAGAAGACACAGTCCATGGCTGGCTGGATTCAAAGCAGAAATAGCATGGCTGAATGGCACAGTGGAGGAAGAATACTCACTTCACGGTAGTCAGGAAACAGAGAGAAAGGAGGAGCCAGGGACAAGAACAGAGCCTTCCAGGTCATGCTCCTAGTGACTCCCTTCCAACGAGGCCCACTTCCTAACAATAGCACATTCAGCCATGAACTATCTCCATGGTCCAATCACCTTCCAAAAGTCCCACTCGGAACACAAGATTTTCAGAGGGCATTCTAGATCTAAACCATCACTATATTGTTCTGCATCTTAGCTTTACTCACTGAATAGGTTAGACATCTTTCAGTGTTGATATGTGTTTACCATTTTGTTGGTGACTGCAGCAATGTTGGTGGAAAAGATCAAAGATATTCTGCCTAAAAGAGCCAGCCAAATAGGTCAGTGGACTAAAGCTCCTGCAAGCAGGTACAGGGGCTGGGGGTTCGATCCCCACCCAGGCCTGCCATGCCAGCCCAGCCCCTGGGGCGCACTGAGATGGCAATTGAGACTGTGCATGGTGGTACGCACCTGTAATCCCAGCTCTTGGGAGGCTGTAAACAGGTGGATCACTACGAGTCCGATCTAGAGAGAGAGAGCCTGAATACCCTTCTCCCCCCCAAAACCCCCCAAAACGATATTCTGCCAAATATTTTGTCTCTTGGAGAAACACAAGATTATTCCAATTTTAAGTAAAATTTTGATGAGGTGAGAATTACAGCAATGATTCTTTTTCCATGCGAGAGTAAATAGGAGAAATACATACTTTGGTATCAAAAACTATCTCTTGAACACCACCTGCTATGTATAGCAAACCACTCAAACAAGGTGAAATATTAGATGCCTTAGAACCTTCCTCCAAACATCCAGTATATTAACAGAAAATCAAAGATTACATTTTTCTTTAACGATACATTTTTCTTATTTTTGAGTTGCTTGATTACACCAGTAACTCTTTCCAAGGCCCAAAATTCCACAAACTGTCAAAATCAGTCTTATCAACATGCATGAGCAATTCCGAGGATACGTTATTTGTACTATGCAAGTGCTGTAAGTTGTATTAGCAATTGAATTACCAAAAAGCATCACTCATACTTTTCCCCCCAAGAATGAGTAACCACCTACAGAGACTTACCTAAGAGACTCTTGTTCTAAAACCCTGGGTATCGACATTCCAGATTTAATTTGCTAAACTAAAATACTGACATTCTTTCATTTCAGGTAAAGCAAACAAATAAAATGCTACGTGTTTTAACTGTGAACCACAGATGTTCTACATACATATTCCTTTTGTTGAAAATGCTGCTATTGTTTATCCAGAATCGTTTGAACCCCACTAGGAACCTTCACAACTATAAAAAGATTAATTTCTCAGTTGACTATATTGATTTCATTTTTTTCAAAGTTTTATTGATAAACAGATAGCAATGAGACAGTTTCAATTCAAATCGGAAGTACAGTTTCAACAAATAATACACTGCATATATTCTTCTTAGTGGTTAATTGCTGTACAAGATGCGGACTTGTGATCCTATTTACAAACACCATTAGAACAAATCATTCTATTCATTAAGAGAATGCAACTACGTATCTATCCTAACCACTTTGAATACACAGATACGAAATGGACATTCATCGGTATACCCCATTTTTTCTAAGTTCCGTTATTGAATATTATAGGTGTGTAAACTCAGCAAAATATTCTAAAAGAGTCCAGTAGCCCATAATAGCATTGGGTCTTCTGTTTAACTGGCAATGTCAGAAATTATTGACCTGAGTCCTGACTATATTGATTTCAGTTCCCTTATAATAACAGGAGATGATTTTCATGACTCATGTTCAAGAGAGGAAGAAAAGCTGTCCTTTAGTTAAAGCTAAGTTGCTGGGACTAAATAACCACCAGGCAAAATTCATCAAAATCTTTATTGTGGCTGAGATTAGAACTTTTCCTAAAGACCTAAAGGTCTAAAGCTTCTAAACACACTCTGGGCACCCTCCTTTTCCAGGGACACAGCAAAGACTTGTGGTCCTGAAGGAGACACCCACTAGTGGTAGAACCTTTGTTAGTCTCACATTTGTCAGGTTAAAACTTTCCCCATGTGTTCCAAAAGTGGGTATGCAGACTACTGATGGAACAAAAGATTAACTTAAGTGGCTTATAGACGTAATTATTTTTAATATAAAAAGGTATATAAGAAGAATAACCAGCTGAAACTAGTTATGATTTTCTAATCATTATTGGCAAGGATAAGTAAAACACTGAGTCCACTTAAAGCTGATTAAAAAAAACTCACAGTAAAGAGCTTCAAAGATGCTCCATTCAATATGGAGATATTTAGGAAACTTTTGGTCATGGCTTTGCTTCTAGATGTGTAGCACACATAGCACTCTCAGTAACTCTTCCTGTTTTCTGTGACATACTCCCCAAAGTAGCTAAACATACTCACATGTTTAGATTCATTAAACAAATAAGGACCCTCTTCACTTTCCTTCTTGCTGAAGACTTTTTCTTTTCACTCCTAGCCTGATTCCTGAAATAGTCAGCTATTCTTGCTGGTGAGTGGCATTTTCACACCACCCTCTCTTTCCTCAATACATGCTGACCTGGCTTCTACACTAACTCAAACATATCAGATGATAAATCCAATAAACTCTTTAATTCCCTCTTCTTTTTATGTTTAAGGGTCATTTAATAGTGATAACCATCAAACTGTATGTATTTGTCAGTCCATTATAGATTGCCTTCTTTTTCCCCTGCTATGTCTTCTTGTTTTGTATTAAAGTGTATTGAAGTATATTAAAGTGTGCTGAAGTATATTGAAGTGTACTGAGTGTTTTCTCTTGGCTCCTCATGCCCAAATAAGACCACGTATTTGGTGTTTCCCAAGTTCTATCTCACATTCACTGTTCTTCTTATTCCACACATTCTTTAGGTAATTTACCCACACTCTTGGTTTCAATTACTGTCCATATTCCTAAATCCTTATCTCCAATTCAAGTCTCTCCTCTGAGCTCCAGACTTGTTTATCAAGCCCAATTGCATGTTTTATAGGATCTTAATGACAGCATGTCTAAAATGGAACTCAGCAGCAGGTGTCTCTCTTCTTGCTGGGAATAAGACCACCCATTCAATGGTCCCATCCAGAGACTTCATTTCTTGAGTGTGATCACTCAATCAATCTCCAAGTCTATCTATCTAACATATAGGTCTATCTCTCAAGGCCCCTCATGTGATCAACTGTAACTGGCTCTGTAACTGCATTCATAGTGAGTTCCATGGTCCCATCTCTACTGTCATTTTCTTATCACATGAATTTATGGCTTCCACATCATCTTAGGATATGGTCCCCAACTTCCTATATTATGCACTGGGCTCTGCAAAACTGGTACTCTTTGTCTTAGACAAAGCTCTTCAAATTCTCTAATATTCCACTGTCTTTGGGAGTCTATGCATTGCTGAGACACTTCTTTCCAATCCCCTGCTCAAAGCTACTTTTTTTTTTTTTTTTTTTTTTTTTTTGTAGAACTGGGGATTGAACTCAGACCCTTTTGCTTGCCAGGGAAGCACTTATTCTACTGAGCCATCTCCCCGGCACACAAAGCTACTCTGACCATGGTCTCAGATTAAACACCACTTTGGACTTCCCTGTTGTGTCACTCACCATGCCTTATTGTAAATTCTGTTTAATGTCTGCCTTCTTCTTTACACTGCACATACCATGACTGTATTAACCACACCTATCTGACTCATCACCACATTTTCAGGGGCTGGCACTGTGTCTGGCACAGTATGTGATACTCAGTAAATATTTGTTGTGAAGAGAATAACTAAACTATTCACATGCCAAAAGAAAATGGACTATCTATAAGTCATTAACGCAAGACTGTCTAAAAGAATAGAAATACTGATTTCATTTGCGCAAGTATTGTCCTGCTTTTCAACACCTAAAGAATGTTGTGCACTGAAACAATTGAGAACTTATCATTCATCTGCAACAAACCACAACACTCTTCTCCATGGTTTCTGCAGGTTTACTTTCTCATGAGGTGATCAACACTTACTTTGCTTACTTCCTTTAAGGCTCTTTTGCAGACTTCATATTTTGGAGAATCCTTAGGTGTTTTTTGACAGATAGTCTATAACAAAGTAAAAACAAACAAATTCAATTTTTTATCTAAAGTAGAATAAAACCAGTGTCATCTACTTCCTCGTACTTTCAGAACACTTAAGAATGCTGAACACAATATTATAGATGAGGATGAGGATGAAGTAAGACTTCAGAGTGAAATAAGCCTGTTTTCAAATCCCAGGTTTGTCTTATATCAGTTATCTAACCTTGGGTAAGGAACTGGGCCCATGAAAGCCTCAGAGTTCTCACTTGTAAAAGTGAAATAACATCAACTATATTATTCCAAGAGCTAGATAATAATTCACATCAAGTTCTTGGGTAAATATAGATAAGGGCCTGGAACTTACCTAACTCAACAACTAAGAGTTACCTAAGTGGTAAAATCATGCCAGAGAGGGTCAATTCAAGATAAACTGAATCACAAGTGAGTATGCCTAATCTGAAACTGAAATTCTGAATGCTCCAAAAAACTTCGAGTGTTATTGTGACACCACAAGTAAAAAATCTGACTCCATTGAACTTCATTTGTCACAAAATTATATAAAATATTGCATAAAATTGCATTATTTAAGGCTCAGACTTGAGTCCCAGTTCCATGAAATCTATACTCTCACCCTCCATGAAATCTCATTATGCATATGTAAATATTTCACAGTAAAAATAATCCTGAATATTTTTGGTTAAGAGCTAGTGAACCTGCAAATATAACTTTGGAAACCATACACACTCAAACCCCAAAGATCCATTTTAAGTACATTTACATTCTGTCTGGGTGGCCTGATCCTAACATGTGGAAAACAGACATCAAGTAAAAGTATAAGGTGAGTGGAAACTAGCAAAGCACTGGACACCTTATATATGAGAGAATACGAGGCCTATAAATCTGAAAGTCAGGCATCCAAATTGCTACATGTAAGAAGCATACAGTGCACCATATGTACATTTATATTAGTAGTTCTCATTAATTTTTTATTAAGAAATATGTCTATATTACAACCAGTATTCATGTTCACATAAATTAAACTATTTTTATAAAACAATATTTAACCACACTGTAAGCCACATACATATCACTGACTTCATATTCTATGCCATTTTATTTTTTTACAAACTCCATTCATGACTTGAAAATCAATTTCATGACCCTCTAATGGATATAAATACAAAACAAAAAACCCTGATCATGCCTCCAACAACAGGCATACTAAGTTGGAGTCCATATACTAAAATTTTATATAAAATTTTGTACCTATATTAATTTTCTGGGCAAAAAGGCTACAGGTTCACTTGTAATGTCAAAAGAGTCTGCGATTCAAAAAGTTGAGGGCTTACTTGAAAATCATGGCATAAATATCCAATGCTGCACAACATGTTATATTAGAGTTTGGAGTTTTGTTCTATTAAAATAACTGTCTCAAAATTTGGCTTTGCTAGCCTAGCCATGTTCTATTCTCAGATATAATAGACAATGATCTTTAAAAAAATCAACCACATTTTCAAAACTTCGCCTCTCACTTCCATCATATGCTGCACATCAATGTTTGGGTCAATAATGGACCACGTATAAAATGGTGGTCCTGTAAGATCCTACCATCTAGCGATGTTGCACTTGTCTCAGTTGGCATAAAGCCATGTCATAGTGCTTGCACAACAACAAGACTGTCTAAGCACGTACTCCTCAGAACACATCCCTGTCATTAAGCACCTCATGACTATGTTTGTGAAGAAGATAACTTCCAAATGTCACATGCAGGTGATGGCTGACAAGGAAGGGTGTAGACAGAGTATAGTGAGGTGAACTTGGAGAAGAACGAGGTGCTGTGAATCCTGAAACACCGAAGCCTCCACAAAACTGCAGCAGATTCAACAAAGTGATCATGATCACACATATGATCCATTTCAGAATGTCACTGTTTAGAATGGCTTAGAATTTAAGACAGACTACAGAAAATGGAATTTTCTTCTTTTTTCATTCTGTATTTTAATTTATTAAATCTGATACTATGTCAACATAATGACTCAATTTTGAAATGGATGTGTGACAGTTTCTTCTAATCAGATCAAAAGACGCTATCTGGTTCACTACCTGGGGGTGACTTGTGTTGGTCCTACTCCCTGTTCCCTGGTGCCGATTCCTGCAGCCTCGGCATGTGTGCAGGTCCTCTCTCCCAGCCTCTGTGTATCCCAGCTGCAGTTTAGGCCTGGTAATTTCTGCTCGCTTCCTCTAGCATGCTGTTATTGTCCAATCAAAATTTTTTTTTTTATAAATGTTTCCTAACACAAAAAGGGTCCAGAGCTTTGCAAAACTACTCTCCACAACACATAGTAGTAGCAAGTAGAGCTCTGTAGTGCTGAAGAATCTCATTCTCATGTGAAATGGAAGCCCTAGAGCATCTTTTACTTAATTTTATTTTTGTTTTTTAATTAAGAACTGAACTCAGGACCTCACAGAGCATCCTGAATATGCCAAACATCAGAGATCTTCATAACCAAACTGAGGAAACTGAGGCTCAAGCAAAACTAGTGATCTGCTCACGGTCGATGCTGAGCGGCTCAGCCAGAAGTGGAATCCAACCTTTGAGAAGCAGATAGCCTTCCCATTTCAAACTGCTGAATAAGTATGTAACGCAAACAAATTTCCAAGCTTAAACACCAGAGATTTCAAACACAGATAGGATTTTTCCAACCAAATAACACTTTGTTACTGAATTACAGATAGGATGTGGACCAATTTAAGTGGGCTATGATAATATGCAATCAGATCTACAGCAGCAGAGCTATGCACGGAGGAAAAGCTGCCAGACTATGTCTTACATCCATCAGTAGGGGAAGCCGGGTCACCCTCTGCATGGGGAGAATGAGAAAAGAGATCATGGGTAGGTTCCTACAGTCTTCATGGGACTCAATCCGAGACAATACTTCCTTAAAGGAGGGATTGGTGGCTCTGAAGGAAAAGAAAAAAGCAAAAAGAAACTTCAAGTTATTTCCTTCTCAAGCACAGAGGCAAATAGATATGTATTAAAAAAGTAATAAATGCATGTTATAAATGATTTTAAAAATATATAAACAACATAAATATAGGCAACCACATATGACAAGGTTGAACGTAAGAAGCAGAGTCATATAACAATATCAACACAATAAAAACACCTATGACAGAACTCTCTAGACATGGAATATAAACAAATGAAAAGGTCCCAGTATCATAACAGTGTGCATGATAAATATAAATTATTATGAAGACAAGATCTCATATTTGATCATCTATATATACATTCCACTGATATGATCACATATAATATGGCTTAAGCCACTCTTCTAGCCTTACAGACAATGATCTAAGCAATATATACATGGTTAGATTGAGCTTATTATCAAGCTTTTTGCCTTTTTCACAGGTCCTCTTTCTAATATAAGAGTCATTGATCACATAAGCCAAAATACTTCTTTTCCTCTCCACTCATGTTAGACCAGCACTGATACTGCCACAGCGTTTGTACAAAACTCAACAAGTTATCCCCACGTATCTTATCACACATGGAACCACACATGTCATGTTTTAGAAAGGTTAGGTAGGGAGCCAGCAAGATAGCTCAGTGGACTAAGTGCCTGCTTAGGCAAGCTCAGGGACTGGAGTTTGATCCCCGGCATGATGTCATGTCAGTCCCGCACCCTGAACATCATTCCCGCATCCTGGGCGTGCTGAGCTGGTTACTGAGTCTGGGCATGGTGGCACATGCCTATAATCCCAGCACTGAGAGGGCTAAAAACAGGAGGATCACTATGAGTCTGAAGCATAGGGGATCAGCACTGCACTGTACACCCCATGCTCCAGAAACAGAATAGTGACAATAATGATTAAAAATGAAATTTGAAAAAAAAATGAAATTTGAAAATTTGGGGCTGGCCTGATAGCTCAGCGGACTAAAGCACCTGCTTAGGTAGAGCACAGAGGCTGGGGTTCAATCCCCAGCATGCTGTGCTGGCCCTGCCCACAGGGTGCACTGAGACAGAGATGGAAACTGGGTGTGGTGGCGCACATCTGCAATCCCAGCACTTGGGAGGCTGAACACAGGAGAATCACTACGAGTCCAATCTAGGTAGTGAGACTGGGTAGACCTGTAGACCTTGCCCTAAACACAGGAAAAAAAAAAAAAAAAGAAAAAAAGAAAAGAAAAACAATAATTTGGTTATTTGGTTCAAGCCCACTAGAAATAAATTGAGAAAGATCAGAATAGCAAATTGCAACAAATTACACAGAAATGATTTTCATTTTCACAAAGTGAGTTTTCCTTTCCCAGACAGCTCTGAAAAGACCTTTAGGAAATTAGAAAAAAAAAATCAAACTTCACATTTGTTGCATATTTAAATCACTCATGTCCTAGGTTGCTTCCTTAACTCTCAAAGGCTCTGTTTAAATAGTCTGAGACAGCCTCAATATTGCTTATGATAGGTTTCAAGGATTCCTGGTGTTTTCAATACACCTCTGAAGCTGAAGGTCCCTGCTCCAACCCCCAATGCATACGACCTGTGACCAAGTTCCTGCAAACACTAATTTCCATGTGAAATTGCACAAGATGAAGTCATTCAAGTAATTTAGGTAACATTTAGTTTTGAGTCACATAATGTAACTATTCACATTTTAAAAATCCTGCAAAACAAAATGATTCCAAAGTTAGCTCTCATTCAAGACTTCATTTTCAAACATGACCCGGAGCTACAGATTGACCTCTGTCCCTACACTGGCACCTCCCAGCAGGGTGTGGGGTCAGCAGAAGTGAATGGTGTGAATTTGCCCTGTAGGGAACCTTCCTCAATGTTCAGACATTTTTGGCATCTAGTGGGTTAAATATCCTACAATACAGCCTTCTACAACAAAGACCCAGCTTGAAATGTCAGTAGCACAGACAAACGCTTTATGCTAAAAACTTCATTGGAAGCTGGTTAATGCAGCTTTCCCACCCTGCACCTATGAGCGTTTCACGGTAATGTGGAGGGGAGACGGGGACAAGCAGCCCTTCCCAAAAACATGGAGACTGTGACCACTTCTCCAAGCAGCCAATAGGCAATTATCACCACCATCTCCAGACAGACCTCATACTTTGCAGAGAGCTGACCAGAGCTCCATGCTGTGGTCATAAATGCCACAATCACAGGAGGGTGTGAGAAGGACAATAGGCAAGAAGCCCGCAAGCTGGTTTTACCACAGCAATTAACAACCGAAATGTAAAAAGCTACTTGGCACAAATAGGGTCCCTAGAAACAAGACAGGATAGATAATCCTGAGCAATCCAACTCTTACATAGATGGAGATATGTATCTCACAATGCAACCCTCAAAAGGACCAAAAGAAAAGGTGTGTGTGCAGGGCACCTTAATACTTAGATATTTCTTGCAGTATAACTAAAATCCTTAATAATATCTTTTTCTATTCCTCTTCATCAGACCCCTTCCCCATCTTCTCAGCCCTGACTGCCCAGGATGTGGGAAGGCGAGAACCAGCGACTCCTATGGGAGCAAGAGTAGAAGAGTGGGGGGCTGGGGAGATAGCTCAGTAGAATAAGCACTTCCCTGACAAGCACAAGGGCCTGAGTTCAATCCCCAGTTCCACCAAAAAAAAAAAAAAAAAAAAAAAGATTAGAAGAGTACAGAAAATCCTGAGTGTTAGCTTCTAGCTCCACCTACCTAAAAACCAGCTCTAGGCCTCAGGCAAACCACTTAATTGCCAGTACTGGCTTACAAAACCAGGAAGCTGAACTATGATCACCCCTGTGTTCAGATCAATTAAAGCAAACCAAGGACAATAGCAACAACAAACCGTAAGTACTTTAGAGAGAAAACTCCACAGATTAGATTTTTTTACTCAAATATCTTCACCCTGAAAGTAATCCTCCTAAACATTTCCCCGCTGGGAAATAGGTCATCAGGAGGCACTTCTAAATGTAATTTAAGTGGTTGGTTAATTTCAACCATGAACCTAATTAAAACTAAGTTTAACCATCAGTAGCATTGAATATCGCTTACAACAATTTTTGTAGTGTACGCTGTTGGTAAACTTCATTTGTGCAATATTTCACATAGGGATCAAACGTGGATGCCGTGTGCTTCTCTACAATGTCGCTGATATCTTCTATGACAATATTATTCTGATGTCTTGCTTCCAACTCTGTAAAAAATCTGAGAAAAAGAAAAAACAGTGTTTATACTCTTTCCACGTACTTTAATAGATAAGACCATATTCATGCAATGTTAGTACTGTGTACAAGTTTTAAAATATCAGCAGTACATACAATATCAGTCCAAAAAAAAAGAGCCCTAAAACCTATAAAAATCTTGTTTAAATTTAATTTTTTCATACATCTTATTGATTCAAGTGTTGGCTTGTAACATGGGTAATCATAAACACTTCTCTGCCGCTGAATTCATTTTAGAATAGACAGATTTCCCTGTTTTTTTCCCCAAGAATTCCCCAGATATGAGGGGGGAATCATGATAATAATGCATATTTAATTGTTTTGAAAAATACATGAGGGGCCAGCAAAATAGCTCAGTGGACTAAAGTACCTCCTTAGGCAAGCTTAGGCAAGCATAGCGACCGCGGTTCAATCCTCAGCACCACATGCCACACCAACCCCACCCTCAGGGAAAGCTCAGCTGTACACAGAGTCCAGAGAAGTGGTGTAGGCCTGTAATCTCAGTGCTGGGGAGGCTGAAAACAGGAGGATCACCATGAGTTTAAGCTGTGTAGTGAGACCTTGTAACAACCAAATACATTAAAAAAAAAAAAAGTACATGAGAAAACACTTAAATTGAATCCTAAAACCACATTATATATAAACCAAGTTCTATGTGTTTTTTCTCTCAAAATAAAAACACATTTTAAACCTATTAATATTCATGGTATTTCAACATCTTAATCATTTACATGACAATTCAGAATTGCCCCTGAGTTATTTCCTTCAAAATAAGCCAGTATTAGAAAGAAAAATGTCTTTCTATGTTGTGTGAGCTGTTCTAGTAAATCAGTCTTTAGGAGGTAGACTGGGGGACCTCTTAACTTTCTAGCTAAGTAGACAGAAATGTGGGTAGTCTGCGCACCAATACTTGCGACTCACTTCTGAAGTGAAGGCAGTCTTGTGAGCCTGACCCCTCCCACCTTCACTGTCTTCACCATGCTATGGTGCAGGACACCCAACTGGCACCCAGAGAGCTGGAGAACTGATTGGTGTGAGAAGGAAACCCCATTCATTTGGCGTCAAAAATGTATTGAGTGAAAACAGCCTAAGGGGTGAGTCCTGAAGACTCCAGTGAGCAGAGTGAATGACAGGGCCAAGTACAGGTGACAAGTCATCAGCCACAAAGATGATGTGAGGTATGCAGAGGACGGGATGACACTGGACAGAAGGGGCCACATGGCACTGGCAGGACTTCATTCTGGAAACTGGGAGCTCAGGGAGGATGCGGGGTGGATACTAGGGGGGAAGGGCAGAGAGAGAGAGAGAGGGCTGCAGGGCGGGTGAGAGCCAGAGGCACTGGTTTTACTGAATGACAATGAGAAACTCTTAGAGATGTAAGGAAGACAACAAATCATCAGTCAGGGAAACTGAGTCAAGACAGGAGAACCAGCCAGTGGCTGGCTAATCTGGGGCAAGAATAAAAACTGGCAACAGGAAAGCAAAGAGACAGACACTTATTAGGCAACAATTTAAAGGTAAAATTGAAAGAATGCAGAAATTCACTAAGTGTGAAGTCAAGGAAGGTGCTGGAGTTTCTGATCAAAGTTTCCACCCAACCACTAATGAAGACTCGGGTTTAGGAAGAGAGAAAAGAAACAAAAAGGAAAAAGTTTAACTTTCCCTGGGAGATTTCTAACAGATAGCTAAAAATAAAAATCTGACAATTAAGAGGTACTCAAATTCTAGGTACTATGTAGATAGGGCTAGTCTATTTTTACCTCATTCTCAATTAACAGCAAAATGTTTACCATTTATTTTATACTACTTGATTTTTAAAGCCAATTTTAAGAAAATATTCAAAGAGAACTCAAGAATAGTACAAACTATTAAAAAGGTCTCAATCTTGAAATTTGAGGAAATAAGCATCTTAGCAGCCAATGTGTTTTACAGTTTCTTGCCTTTAGCTAACTGTGAACAGTCAGAAGGAATGCAACTGTATAACCAAAAACAACAGAAACTTGGCTTTTCCCAATGAAAAGGAAAATTTCATTTATCACTGTAAAAGGTTTGCCAAAGTACAAGATTAAAACCAAGGTAGCACTGAAATATGTTTATGCTACTTACTTTAATATAATATAAACTAAGCCACCTATCTTTTAGCATAATTAAGACATAATTTAAAGCTTTCTATGTCAAATAATCTATTGGTTATTTTGGCAAACTTGCAAATTTTGCTAAGTGACCTGAGCTACAAAAAGACCAAGAAACTATTCCCAAAGAATGAAATATTATTTCGGGAACAAAGAAGTCTGGAAATTCAAATAAAATCTGAAGAAAAGCTGATAGCATTCTGGTTTCTGGAATAAAAACCAAATGAGTTTAGGAAGTAATCTGACATATGGAGGACAACTTTTTGGGTTTTTGGCATTACTGTGAGTTGAACCCAGAACCTATGTATGCTAGGTATGCTGTGCCACTCAGTTATATCCCCAACCCTTTCTTCAAAATTTTATCTTGAGGTAGTACCTTGGTAAATTACCCAGGCTGGCCTCCAACTTGTGATCCTCTTGTCTCAACCTCCAAGGATTTGGGATTACCTGGGATTAGGTGTCTGCCACCAAATCCAGCTAGAGGACAAACTCTTAATGGAAATACATATTTTACCTCTAGGAATTTTTTTTTTTTTCTGGAGCAATACCTTAATTCTTCCCTCTTATAGTACTGTTTTTCCAAGATGATTATGTTTTAGAACCAACCATGCTCTACAACCTTTCTTTTTCTTATGAAAATTCTAACTTCTTCTCAAAAGTCTAGATTCTGAGATACCTCCTTGGACAAAAGAAGGTTGTCATAAATACTTTCTCCTAAGCAGAACTCCCACCTGCTCTGCTCTAATGTTAGGTCACTGTCACCAACACACTCACACTCAGAGTCCAAATTAGTGCAGCTTCCAGGTGAGCTCCTGAGCTGAGCAGAGAATCATCAGACACTGAGATTACAGGGTCAGCCACCCAGGAAGGAGGATTTCAAGAGGATTCAGCTAAGGTTCCAGTTTGAAGAGGCTGATGTAGAGCTTGTTCATGGTCTGAAACCCATCCTTAAACATTTCCTACTTCTGCAGAGATTGTTTCTAGAACTTCAGGTTTTTGGTGGCTGCTTTTTTTTTTTTTTTTTTTGGTATTTTTTTAGGGAAGGGTCTACAGGGTGTTTAGGGTCACACCACTAGATCAGACTTGTAGTGATCCGCCTGCTTACAGCCTCCCAAGAGCTGGGACTACATGCGCGCACCACCATGTCCAGTCTCAATTGCTGTCTCAGTGCATTCCAGGGGAGGGGCCGGCACGGCAGGTGAACCCCCACATCCTTCAGGTCTCAAGTTAAATTTCATCTCATCCAGGAAGCTTTCACTGACTTTATGGGATGGGTTAAGCTCCGCTCTTTTTATGGCCTCCTGAAACCCTATACTTCTTCAGGGTTCCACCATCATCACAATTAAGTACCCTATGGGTTTATTTACCTTTACTCCCTTAGTTAGGCTTGGAGGAGCAGGTCCCTGTCTGCTGGGTTCAGTACTACACCCCAGGGCTGAACCAAGGTACCTAGAACTCAGGAGACAGCCAGATACTTGATAAGTAAATACATGAATGAGAAAATCAAACTTAATGTTTTAAATAAAAAATTATAGCAAAAATGAAACCCATTAAGGAAATTGTTTTGATATTTTACTAAGAATGTAATATTCATAAACAGGTCAGTCTCTACCTTACTTTTCTTTATTGGAAAATCAAATCAGCATGTACTGATTGGCCATAAGCTGGGTTCCCAGAAGGACTCTGGACACAGTGCGTGCCATGAGTGGAGGGAAACTCACAGGACAAGCTTTTTCATTTGGAATAGAGTTCCATTTCAGCCTGAGTGTCTTCAATGCCAGCTACACTTTCTGAAAAACCTGCCGGACCAGTTCTTCAACCAATTTAGGGAAGATTCTAGTGAGGCCAAGAGGCTCAGCACTCAATGTTCTATCTCTAGAAACACGGAAAGCAGAGTTCTGGTTAGAATCAATGCTGTTGAAGCCAGGAATGTAGCTCTCGTGCATAGTGCCTGCCTGGCAAATGCCAGGCTCTGAATTCAATTCCTGGTACACAAACAAACACAACCACAGACACACACACACACAATCAACACTATCCTGTGTCCTTCTTAAAAGTGGCATCCTTTCAAAGTATATTTCTTTCATTAATATCCATATGCCCAAAGCAAATTCGAATCACTCCTGGACTTCCTCCTCACTTGAATAAGCTGCCTGTCAATCTAAATAGCCATAGAACCCTGCCAGAGAGGGTCAGATTCACACAGGTTGAAGACGTAACATACAAGCAGGTCTCATATGTCTAAATTACAGTTATATAATAAAATATCTTCACTAAACAAAATACTTCAGATTAGTGGTAGCGAAGTACTTATGTGTTATGAGTACAAAAGAACATTCTGTACTCTACCAAAACAAATTCATAGTGTTCTCAGAGCAAGTGAGATTGGGACTTAATTGTTTTTTATTTTTGTTTTGTTTGATTTCTTTCTTTCTTTCTTTCTTTCTTTCTTTCTTTCTTTCTTTCTTTCTTTCTTTCTTTCTTTCTTTCTTGTCATGCTGATTCTTCTTGCTCAGTATCAGTTTCTTTTAACACGCTGGATCAGGGATAGCAAGTACCCAGCACAAGCACCAGGGCAGGCATGGCTGGCTGAGCCCTCTGCCCAGTACAGGATGTGCACACCAATCAAGCAAAAGCACTGCTCAGCAAGATAAAACTCAGCTATGAATCCTTTTATCAGACTAACACTAGTAGGAAATTATACAAAAATCCAGAGCTGTTACTCCTCAATCAGAAGATCTTATATCCTGATCTGGAAAATGTCTCAAGAGGTTTTTTCCTCAGCACACTGTAAGTCTTTTATAGTCTATTTCAGCATTTTATTTTAAAATCCGATCTATGGCTTGATAAC